ATGAAGAAATGGCACTGCTGAGCCGTAAACTTTCTCGAATGATCAATGAGAAACGAGTTGCCAAGCTGAAGTTTGGGAAGTTTCAAAACAGAAATAACTATCAGGGATGAGGTGCATCCGGTTCTCAACGAAAGTACCCTGAGCAGAAAGCAACTACATACAACAAGCCAAAAGAAAGGTTCGATGGTGGATTTAAGAAGAAGTTTGTGGTGTCTGAAAAACCAGAGAGGGTTCAAGAACCTACCTGTTATGGATGTGATGGTGTTGGACATATTAAATCTGAGTGCCCAACGGTAAAGAAAATGGAGAAAATAGCATATCAACCTACCTGGAGTGACAATGAAAATGGTGAATCTGCTGGTGGTGATGAACAGACTGAAAGTCATGAACTTGTAGCATTCATGGCAAATGCTGATGAGTCCAGTGATGAAAAGGAAGAATCCAGTTCTAAAATTACTGATGAGTCAAGGGAACTTGATGCTGATGAGTTGATTGAGGCTTATGAAGAGATGGTACTCGAACAAAAGAAAGCAGTTGTGAAAAATAAAGAATTTCTGGATACCATTTATCGTTTGGAAGATCAAAAGGAGAAACTTGAAGATGAACTTGAGAAGTTAATGAAGATTATTGATGATAAATCTGCTGAATCAGAGAAGTTGAAGTATGAGAATCTGAAGTTGAAGGATGAAAATGATAGACTTCGGAAAGGAAAGAAAAAATTAGATGAAGTCCTTTCAATTGGTAAACCATTTGGTGATCACAAAGGATTAGGTTTCTGTGAATCATCTCAAAGTAAACCAAATACATTTGTGCGAGGTGGTCTGCTTACTGATGTCAAACTTCCAGAGAAGAAATCAACACAAGTCTGGAAACAGAATTCAAGGAAGAGAAGAAGCAGAAACAGAAACAAAAACCGCAGAGGAATTCAGAATGATAAGACGAAGCTGTCACAACCTACTGACTGCAAGTACTACATGTATCCTGGTTATTCGGCTGTGAAGTGCTTGAAGCTGGCAAAAGATGTTATCAATGGAAGACACATTCAATGGCCTACTGAAGGTTTGAAACAGAACATAAAAGTCAAATTGGTGTGGATGCCTAAGGAAACTCAGAAACAGCTTGAGTGCAATGTGATCTTGTAAAGCCAAGAGTCTACCAGAGCTGATCGATGGTACTTTGATAGTGGTTGCTCAAGGCACATGACTAACCAAAAGGGAATTCTGAAGAATTTTGTCGAAGACCGAAGTGGAGAAGTCATTTTCGGCGATGGAGCAAAAGGAAAGATCAGTGGCTATGGTGTTCTTGAAAAAGAAGGGATTCCAAGATTATCAAAAGTCTATTTCGTAGAATGACTGAGCACAAATCTGATTAGTATAAGTCAACTGTGTGATGACGATCTACACGTAAAGTTCACAAAAGATTCATGTGAAGTTTATGATATTGCACACAAATGTGTGATGACTAGTGTTTGATCAAAGAACAATTGTTATTTGCTGGAATATCCTCAAATGGAAGCATTGATATTGAAAGATGATGAATCTATGCTGTGGCACACCAGATTGGGTCATGTCAATCCACAGAATCTGCTGAGGATTAGCAAAATTGGAGCTATCAGAGGATTACCCAAATTCTCAAAGATCCCAAGTACTACTTGTGGAGACTAGGCAAGAGGAAAACAGAAGAGAGCTGTACATTCCTCATTGGAACAACGGTTCAGCAGCAACTGTTTGGAGCTGCTACATATGGATCTGATGGGTCCAGTTGATGTCTGCAGTCTTGGAGGAAAGAAGTACATCTTGGTCTGTGTTGATGATTTTTTGAGATATACATGGGTTGATTTCTTACGTGAGAAAAGTGAGGCATTTGATGCTTTTGAAAAACTGGGTACAAGACTCATGAATGAAAAGAAGTCGAAAATTGATAGATTGGGAACAGATCATGGAAAGGAATTTGAAAATCAGATTTGCTGGTTATTGCAATGGATTGGGAATCAAGCATGAATTTTCTGCCTCAAAGACTCCACAACAGAACGGAGTAGTGGAGAGGAAGAATCGAACTTTACAAGAAATGGCTAGATCGATTATGGATGCCAAAGGAGTTGCCAAATATCTGTGGGCTGAAGCTATTAACACAGCTTGCTATGTAATTAATTGAGTTTATCTCAGACCTCATACAGAGAAGACAACATATGAAATCTGGACAGGGAAAAAACCAAATGTTTCTTACTTTCATACCTTCGGGTGTAAGTGTTATATAATTAAGGATCGGGATCAGCTTCATAAGTTTGATACTCGATCAGATGAAGGCATATTCTTGGGATACTCTCTGAACTCGAGAGCTTACAGAGTATTCAACAATCGTACCAAAAAAGTGATGGAATCCATGAATGTGATATTCGATAATACCATTTATGAGAAGAAATCTATACACTCAAATGATGATGATGATAAAAATGCACCTATTAAGGTGACTCAGAATCCTCCAGATGTTCAAACCATTCCTCAGATTCAGAATGATCTGCCACAGACTGGTGACAATATTGCTACAGAAAGTTCTATCAGATTTGATTGGTCAGAACCAGAATGTTCAATGGATGTAACAACAACCAATAAAAAACCTGTTGAAACTGAATATGATGCTGAAGTGAGAAGATACGGTTTCAGAGTTTCACACAATCATCCAATTGATGCAGTTATTGGTGATCCAATGGGTGGTCAACTGACTCGAGGTAAACAAATTGATTTCAAGAATCTGTCTCGTATGAATTGCTTTATTTCCACACTTGAGCCAAAGACAGTAGATGATGCTCTCAAGGATGAATATTGGATCAATGAAATGCAAGATGAGCTGAACCAGTTCACAAGAAATCAAGTATGGTATCTGGTTGAAAGACCAACTGATGTGAATGTCAGTGGAACTAAGTGGATCTTCAAGAACAAGTCTGATGAAAAAGGAAACATCACCAGAAATAAGGCGAGGTTAGTTGCACAAGGGTACACACAAATTGAAGGTGTTGACTACGATGAAACATTCGCTCCTGTTGCTCGTATTGAAACAGTGAGATTGCTGGTGTCTATTGCGTGTTCCTTGGGTTTTACTCTCTACCAGATAGACGTCAAGACAACATTTTTGAATGGATGGATTAAAGAAGAGATGTATGTGGAACAACCAAAGGGATTTGATGATCCTTTCCATCCAGATCATGTTTACAGGTTGGGGAAAGCTTTGTATGGATTAAAGCAAGCACCCAGAGCATGGTACGAAAGATTGTCCAATTATCTGTTGGAGAATGAATATGTTCGAGGATCAAATGACAAGACGATGTTCATCAAGCTGAAGGGAAAAGATTTGATGATTGCACAGGTGTATGTTGATGATATTTTGTTCGGTTCTACCGCTGAATCCTTGAAGAATGAATTTGTGAAATTCATGGAAGCTGAATTCGAAATGAGCATGATAGGTCAGCTTAATTACTTTCTGGGACTGCAGGTTAAACAACTTGCAGATGGTGTCTTTCTAAGTCAAACCAAGTATGCTCAGAACATGGTTGAGAAGTTTGGACTTCGAGATTCAAAAGGTGTTAGAACTCCTTTGGGACAACAAGAGAAATTGTCGAAAGATGATGATGGAAAGGTAGTTGATCAGAAACTGTATAGAAGTATAATTGGAAGTCTCATTTACTTGACTGCAAGTCATCCAGACATCTCTTTCAGTGTTGGTGTATGTGCAAGATTTCAATCTACACCTAAGGAATCACATCTGAAGGCTGCAAAGAGAATTCTCAGATATGTCAAAGGAACTGCAGAGCTTGGATTGTGGTATTCGAACAGGTTTGGTCTTGATCTCATCGGGTTTAAATATTCGGATTGGGCTGGCTGTTGTGATGATAGGAAGAGCACAACTGGTGGATGTTTTTATATTGGAGATAACATTGTAAGCTGGAGTTCGAAGAAGCAAAATTCCATTGCTTTGTCCACTGCCGAAGCTGAATACATAGCTGCTGGAAATTGCTGTGCTCAATTGTTGTGAATTCGACAAATGCTGCATGATTATGGGATTGGTCAAGATTCGTTCACTTTGTTTTGTGACAGTACAAGCGCCATCAATATCTCCAAGAATCCCGTTCAACATGGAAGAACAAAGCACATCGACATACGGTACCATTTCATTCGAGACTTGGTGGAATATGGAGTATGTGATTTGAAGCATATTGGAACTAATGATCAAAAGGCTGATATTCTCACGAAAGCACTAGATGCCGATCGATTCGAGAAGCTCCGAAGGGATTTGGGTATATGCTCAAGTCCTCATTGATGCTGCATGCATGGGAGAATAAATAAATATCTCCAATTTATGCTCTTGATTTTCCTTTGGATGAAAATTGGAGATTGGATATTTTATTTTTTTTTTTTAAAAAAGGAATTTTGAAAATGCCAAAAAGAAGGACTTTTGGTAAAAGGAGAGTATCTGATCGAGGAATAATATTGGTATTCTGAGAAGGTTTTTAAAACCCCAAAAGTTGATTTGACGGCTCTGCGCCGTAGTGTTGGCTGTCATCACAGCCTTATGGGAACTGACGATACAGAGCAAAGTTAAATTCAGAATTCAAACAGTTACTTCTTTTCTCTCGTTTTTAGTGAATTCATATCGATGCGAAAAATGTGATTTTAAACATACACTCTCTCTCAATACTCTCGTTACTCTTCTCACTTGCGAGTTGCTCTCTGAGAAAAACAATGGTGCGAACTCGATTCGGAGGGGAAACAAGGACTGGCAGAGAAGTCGCTAGTGGGCGTGGACGTGGGAGGAACCGAGATCGTGGGCGCCATGGTGGGAGAATCAGTTCTTCTCCTCCTTCCAGTGAACTAGTCAGTGAGATTCCAACTCCGCCTGAAGCAAGCGAGGAAGTTCAGGTTGCAGTTACTGACATTGTAACTTCTCACTCTCCTGGAGGTCACATAGATGACGCTGAGGAAATCGTTTAAAAAATCCTCGAAGAAATGCAAGATGATGGCCTTGAGGATGAGATTTCTGGAGAACAAGAGACTGATCGCGCTGAGGAAGAAGACGTGGGAAAGGAACAAGAGGTTGTTGAACCTGAACCCAGAAATGTTGAGGAAGAAGCCTTGATACATTTTGAATGAGCCCTGGAATCTGAAGAACAGAGGATCGAAGCGGTTGCTCCTCTCATTCACCTTGAGGAAACCACGATAACACATGAAGGTGCCACTGCTGATCCTTCTCTTTCTCTCTCAGATGAAAGTCTCAATACGATCACTGACAGAACTGTTGACAAACTCTTATCTGAGCGAATGGAACATGAAAATGTTGTGGTCACGCCGACATCACCTGAAGTGGAAATCAAGTCTGATGATTCCAACAATGCTCCTCTTGCCCAACTGAAAAAATGCCATACTGAAAAACAGAGTAAGAAAAGGAAAGTGTCTGCTGATTCTCCCGGTCCTTCGAAGAAAAGAAGCAAGCAAGTCCTTTCAAAGAAAAAACACAAACCAAAGAAATCAAAATCTCGCAAGAGGAAAGTTACACCCTCACCAGTCACGGCTGAAGAAGCGATGGATGTAACACATTTTGACGATGCTGCAGAGTTGTTCGAGTACGACATTTTGGTCAATCGGAAGCTGGTACCAGAGGCTCGTTTTACCGATCCACTTCACAAAGACGTTGGTTTTCTTACATTCGTAAGGATGAAAGGTTTGCGACACTGGGCAGTATAACTCAAATGTTATTGTCCGAAGTTAGTCCAAGATTTCTATGCCAATCTCACACGGGATGTTTTGGATGAAGAAAGTCCTTGGTTCCATAGAGCGTTTGTTCGAGGAAAAATGATTGAGCTTAGCCCCAAAGTGATCAACAATTTGCTGAAGCTTCCAACAGACAATCCAGAAGTATTTCCTTATGCTCTGATCAGAGAATCCAGAAGAGAGGTTGCACTACGGCTATCGGTATGGAAATCCGACAATTTTGGACGATCGGGCTTGGCTGCAACAGAACTGACCATGAAGTTTCAATGCCTGTTTTGTTTCTGCGCAATGAATGTTTTTCCCACAAGCAACTGGACTAACATTGGATATGAGATGGGTAAATTACTTCTTTGCATTGACAAATTTTGTGCTGACATCAACTTTGGTTTTGTTGTTATCTCAAGGATGATGAAGTATGCCCGGGGAAAATCCTTTGACAAGACCAACCTCCCATACCCAGCTCTTATTACTCTTTTATTGAAGGAGAATGGCATTCTTCCGGAACCCACGGAAGACGTAATTCATACCACCTTCTTCAAGCCAAGGTCGAATTTGCATAAACTCTTCAACGACTTCAAAGAACCCCTTCCAGCTGATCCGTCGGGACAGCTTTTGGAAGCCCGAAGGTTACTTCTTGAAGTATTGCAGGAACAAGCTTCGATTCGTTCAACCTTAGGAGAACATTGAAAGAAGATAATTCGTGCTCTGCACCTTCAACCCAGATTTGCCTCCGGCCTTGACGAGGAGGAGAAGATCCCTGACTTTCTCTAAGCTTCCCAACCTCTTTTGGCATCTGTCCACGCAAGGGGGAGAGATGCAGGAGAGAGGGGGGAATGTTGCTGCACCACCGGAGAAAAGGGGATCACTGGGGAAAGGGGGAGATTTTGCAATGTCTGCATGCCGCTTGTTGTCTTGCTGATTATCTGCTACTGTTGAATATCTGTTGTTTTTTTGGTTCTATGTTTGCTGGAACTTTGGTGGACCTTAATTCTGTTTTTGTAAAGGCTGCATGTAGCCTTATTTGGATCGATGGCCTGTAACCTAACCTTAACTTGCCTTTTAATTTTGGATTAATTTGTTTGTGTGAGAGATTATCTCATACATTGTGTGTGTGGTCACATATGCCAAAAAGGGAGAGATTGTTAAGTTAATCTCAAACCTCAACATCTATTTTTGGCATAGTGACAAAACCACTTTCTGCTTCTGTGGTTGTTGGCTTTCAAAAACAGCAACTCTGGACTTGCTGGTGGAGTCCAATCAAACAGCCCTTTTGTCCCTTCAAGTTTGGTGGTTGCTCAAGACAAAATGGACATCTTGAATTTGTCCTTTTGTGTTTTGAACTAATTTGATACCACACCAGACCTTGGTTGGATCAAAGGGAATTTATTACATGTCAAATCATGGCTGTTGTGTGTGTTTTAACATAGCTTGAAGTTTTGTGGGAAGTTAAGTGAGAGAGTGATTTTGAGAGATTGGGTAGTAAGAGAATTATTGTGTTTATCCTCTCAACTACTTCCCTTTCCACCTCCATGTACTAAGTGAGTGATTTACACTTTATCCAGCCGGAGAAGTTTGATGGTCGAAGGAAAATCTGAGTTCCGATCAGGGAACATTCGAACTCTGAGCAGCCCAGCTATGTGTTAGTTGTTAGTACGCGTTTGTAACAACTTATGCCTGTGGAGGGAATTTCCTAGGTGTTTAGCTTGTAGTTTGGGTTGAAGGAGGTTTGGGTGTTTTGTTCATAATCAGCACTGATTAATGGACTTCTCCTGGATTGGTATCCCCTGGATGTAGGATGGTTTATATCCGAACCGGGTAAACAAATAACTTGTCATTTATTGCTTTGAAATCCTTTCATTTATTTCATTGACAAGTCGGTGTTAACTGTGATATAACTACACTTCGGGAGTTGGCCCATTTGGATAAGTGTACGAGGATTTATTGGAGTAGCACTTATTTCCATCCCAACAGGTCACAAACAATATTCATATAGTAAGAAAACTTTAAAAATCAACAATGTGATGAAAATAATATGATTATAGAGAATGATGTGGCGGATAATGTATTTATGGTGAAAAGAAGTTGTGCTACTTCTAATTTTGTATGTTTGAATGAGTGGCTACCTGATATTGCCTTTGAAATTTTTTTTTTCGAGTTATAACTCTATGTTGCATGCTTTTGTTAGTATTGATTATGCTAATATAAAGTTTGAATTTCGGTTATGTGTTAACATTGAAAAAATAAATATGCTATAACTTGGTTTTGTTTACTGATATGTTACGACTAACCATGTTTGCATATATGTTTACTTTGTGTTATATATATATATATATGTGTGTCTGTGTGCTTGAATGCAATAACTATGTGGTAAGTTGTATGTGTAAATATAATGATGTCAACATGTTCTTCACTCTTGTTAATGTCTTCTAAGTAACTATGATGGTCGAACAAAAACAAAAAGGAGCTTGATGGAATTTGTTTTCGGTCCAATCTAAACCCACTTGGTCCGGACCTGAACCAACCCAGGTTTGATTTAAAACCCAAATCTTATCCATTTCACCAAAATTTTTCCTTTGTCTTCTTCGTGCGATATGTTCCTCTTGAGAGAGAAAATTTTGAGATTTTTCTTGGAATCGTTATCATCCTTGTTCGGCCTCCTGCCTTCTTGCGATATGGTATGCCTACCCCTAATTTTGTGTGTTTATCCAAAATCTCTCTTAGATATATAAGTCGATGGGTTTTAGGAGGAGAGTGAGCGAGAGAGAGAGCATAAGCTCTGTGCTATTCGTCGGTTCTTCCCTTCCCTTTGTGCTCACCAGATTCTTATTCGGATCTCCTCCCTCAATATAAGTTTGTGTTCACTCTATTCTTTCATGGGATTTGCATGTGGTTTTGGATGACTTGGTGTCGATTTCAACTACTCCCCTTTTGTATGGTGTCCCCTCATTTCGATGACTCGAAAACGGTGCATAATGAATTCTTATTTGAACCAACATATATTTTGTTTAATCATACCAGTGTTTTTTTTTTTTTTAATTCCTTTTGAATTAATATTATGATTCCTATTTATTTATTTATGTATTTAACTGCTAATGCTACTAATCTATTTATAAATATTATTCGGTTACATAAATAATCTGTGACGACCATGTCGGATCTGAAATCCCGACAAAATATAGAATGAAAAAATACATAAAACAATACCCCAAAAATTTCCTTTTTAAGGCCTTTTTCTCATAAGTGATATTTAAGTTATAACTCATATGTTAGAAATTGGACTGACTTTTGTTGCAAGTTAAAATCTATAGGTAGAAATTCAATTTTACTGTTACTAATGAGATGTTTGTTTATAAATCGTGTTTTCATATAATAAATTTTATCTAAAACAAATTTAAAATATATTTTGATTTATTTTTTTAAAAAGAATTATATTTGAGTAAAGTATATTATTTTGTATAGATCAAATTTATATATATATTTAGTATAGATTAGTTTATAAAAAGCAAAATATCTAAATATATATAGATTTATTTATTTATTTAGAAGTAATTTGTAATAAAATATTACAAATAGATCTCATTTTAGAATTTTAAGACTAATTAAAAAAATAAAAATAAACATAAAAATTAAATGTAGAGTATCAATTCCAATTTAAAACAAAGCGCCATAATTGATCTACACTTCCTACATATAATATTTAGTTATAATTTAGTTCCCATTTTAAAACAAATAATTTGCACTTTCTCCTTTATTTATTTAGTTTAATATTAGTCCTTCTTTTATAATTTTTTTTTTAGTAAAAGTTGAATGTACCTTTAGAATATCTTTAAATACTTCTAAATTTATTGTATATACTTATAACACATTCTGCTTAAATTTGTCCATATATTTCAAAATCTCCGGTTTACCAGTTTTCAAACCACTTGTTACGGTTTATATATTTGTCAAAGTGCGAATGGCTGGTTCAAACCGCCGGTTTACGGTTTCAACCGACGGTTCATCCATTATTATTATTTTTTTAATTTTGAATCTGTACGTCGGCTGCGACTATGGATTGGCAACTGTGGATTATAGAATGTTATGGGCGGGCGGCGAGAGCGAAGAAGCAGGTGGAAATAAGAAAAAATAAAATAAAATTGAAAAAAAATAGGAAAAAAAAAACGAACCCTTCAATGGAATGTGGAGAGTAGATGTTTAAAGCTTAAATTATATATTATATAATAATATTCTTGTAATTAAAATTACTATATACAATTAAATTGTTATAAAAATAAAGATAATATTAATATTAATAAAAATAAATAATTACTAATTATATAATAATAATATACATTATTTTGTATATTTATATTTTAGATTTTGTATTTCTTATCATACAATTATATTTAATTTAAACTATATTATTATCTAATACACATCAATTTCTTAAAATTTATTTTTGTTTATTTTATTTAAAATTTAATTTAATTTAATTATTTATTAAATTTATTATTTTAATTGCTTTTATATTGTAATAATCTTAGCAATTATTATTTATGTGATTTTACATAATAAATAAATAATAAATATATCTGAATAGAAAATCGAACATAATTATATTTGAATAAATTTTAAATTTAGATTTAAAAAGGAAAGAGAAATATATTAAAAATGAATGTACATAAATCAACAGTTCAAATCGTAATCGTCAGTTTTTTAAACCGTAATCAAAACCGTCATTCAGAAGGTTTGGTTTCGATTTGATTTGTTGATAAACCGTAGCCATCAGTTTTAACCGTTTTGGTGTACTTGATATCATATAATATTGTTTGTAAATATACGACAGCAAAACCCCACTTGGATGTATTGTGATACATGAACACCAACAATGGGTATTTGACAGTCCCTTTTTGTGTATGATAATTCAATTACACACGTATCATGAAATGTAACAGAGGCACACAAATTATCTATTGGGTATATAGTTGATTTCCCGAAGCACAATGGCGTAGTATGGTATTACTGTGCTATCACAGTCAATGAAGTTCCGAAAAATAATAATCGAATTGGTATAAAGTAATCGGAGCTTATTGTGTTGTATCCATTAGACACATACACAATTGATTGTAATTAATACACTAAGACAAACGGGAGAATATGCTAACGTATATAGACACGAACAATAAGTATGTGATAGTGCTCATTTTTCTATGATACTTTAAAGTCATAGGTTTATGAAAACATATTAGAGCCATATGAACCATTTTTTGGAGTGTATAATTAATGTATTGAAGCACATGAGAGTGGTAGCGTAGGTACCGATCTATCAGGGTCACTTTTGGTCATATGATAAATCATAACAAGTAATTAACATGAGCTATGAAGTTATACAGTTAGAAAACTCTGTCACAAGATTATGTGTTCAGTTACATAAAAGACTGTAGTAGGTATACAACTAGTAGAATTTCGTACACGAAATCAGGTTGGGGGTACGACATAACTGTTCTAGAGTACTCAATTGCTTAGCCGAGTCAAACCCTATGCTTAGATGCCTTTGACCAAAAGTTGTTGTGTGCGCTACGGTGTGAATTAATATGTACTAGATTAAAAAAATTTCAATTTGTGGTAGCAATCATGTATTCTAACAACTAATATAATTTAACTTAGTCACTTATGACTTTTTTAGACATCTACTAGTTGAGGTTGGA